ATCAATTGGTCCCAACCCACCTGTAAAGGAGAATGAAGAACATCAAAGACACAAGGAAAGTATTAGCCCAAGAGACAGAAAGGGCCACATAAACCAGAGATTTCATCAGCCTGAGACCAGAAGAACTAAATTGTGCCAGGCTACCACCAATGACTGCCCTGACAGGGAACACAGCAGAGAGTCCCGGATGGAGCAGGAGAAAGGTGGGGTGCAGAACTTAAATTCTAGTAAGACGAACAGACTTAATGGTCTGACTGAGACTAGAGATACTCTGGAAAGCCTGGCCCCTGGATTCTCTATCAGCCCAGAACTAAAACAATTCCTGAAGCCAACTCTTCAGACAGGGATTGGACTGGACTGTGGGACATAAAGTGATACTCATGAGGAGTGTGCCTCTTAGCTTAAGTAGATACAATAGACTAAACAGGCAGCTTCTGTCCGGAGGTGAGATGGGAAGGGAGAGAGGGTTAGGAGCTGGTTGAATGGACATGGGGAATCGGGGGGGGGAGTGTGCTGTCACAGTAGGGGAAGAGCAATTAGAGTCACATAACAATGTATGTATAAATTTTTGTATGGGAAAAATTTTTTAAAAAAAGAGGTTAATTTAAGATACAACCTAATCCTGTAGATTGAGTCCTGCCTCATTAACATAACTGCTTCTAATCCTGCCTCATTAACATCATAGAGGTTAGAATTTACAACACATAGGATCACATCAGATCACAAAATGGTGGAAGACCACACAATACATGGAATTGTGGTCTAGCCAAGTTGACATATATTTTTGGGGGATACAGTTCAATCCATAACATAGGCATATCTTCACCTGTCATCTGTCCACCCCCTCTGGGTGTATCTCTCTCTTTTCCCTTTTTATAAGAGATGCTCAGAAGGGATGGGGTTTAAAACTAATCATACTCTTGTAATGAGTCCCTGGGTGGTGCAAACAGTTAAGCACTGGGATACTAACTGAAGAGTTGGCAGTATGGACTTACCCAAAGGTACTTTGGAAGAAAGGCATAGTGATCTGCTTCTGAAAGGTCATAGCCATGAAAATTCTTTGGAGCTTAGTTCTAGTCTGCAACACATGGGATCACCAAGGGTCAGAACTGACAATATGGCAACTAGTACTCTTGTATGGTCTCATTAACACAATAAAAGAAAACCCCTATTCATAATCATTAACAACCTTTGATATGCAGTTGACACAACCTTGCTTGCTGAAAGTGGAGAGGACTTGAAGCACTTACCGATGAAAATCAAAGACCACAGTCGTCAGTGTGGATTACACCTCAACATAAAGAAAATAAAAATCCTCACAACTAGACCAACAAGCAACATGAGGGTTTTCATGATAAATGGAGAAAAGATTGAAGTTATCAACGATTTCATTTTACTTGGATCCATAATCAGCACCCATGGAAGCAGCAGTCAAGAAATCAAAAGACGTATTGCATTGGGCAAATTGGCTGCAAAAGACCTCTTTAAAGTGTTGAAAAGCAAAGATGTCACCTTGAAGACTGAGGTGCGCCTGACCCAAGCCATGGGGTTTTCAATTGCCTCGTATGCATGTGAAAGCTGGATGATGAGTAAGGAAGACTGAAGAATTGATGCCTTTGAGTTGTGGTCTTGGCGATGAATATTGAATATACCATGGACTGTCAAAAGAACGAACAAATCTATCTTGGAAGAACTACAGCCAGAATGCTCCTTAGAAGCAAGGAAGGCGAGACTAGTCTCACATACTTTGGACATGTTATCAGGAGGAGGGATCAGTCCCTGGAGAAGGACATCATGCTTGGTAAAGTAGAGGGCCAGCGAAAAACAGGCAGATCCTCAAAAAGATGGATTGACACGGTGGTTGCAACAATGTACTCAAGCATAACAACGATTGTGAGGATGGCACAGGACGGGGCGGTGTTTCGTTCTGTTGTACATAGGGTCGCTATGAGTTGGAACCAACTCGATGGCACCTAACAACAACAACATTCATAATTAGGGTCAGGTTTATAGATAAAGGGGTTAGGATTTCAACATCTTTTGAAGGGACATAATTCAATGCATAATACCATCCTCTCTGCCTGGGCCGGAGTGCGCTTGAGAACACAGAAATTGGTCTGAGGGAATCTCTGCCCTGGGAATTCACAGACTATGGAGGAGAAGACAGGAAATCTAGGAAGGTGTCAGAGCAGAGGAAAAGGCTCACTCTGCTGGGTGGGGTGGCGGTGATGTCAGGTGTAGAGGATAAAATGTCTTGGTTTGCCTGGGACTGAGGGATTAGTGAAATGCAAAATTTTTAGTGCTTAATTAAATCATGACAACTCCAGGCAAACACGAGAGGAAAGAGCTCTAGAATGGTCCCCAGATGAGGGCTATTGACTTTTGAGTTGCACCATTAACCAGGGTCTGTTTACCTGCATGCTCTCCTCTCCTCCTCCCACAGTCCTGGGCTTTGAGCACCTTGGGATTGAGCATATCGAGGTTCTCCCTGTACCCCAATGCCCAGCATTAAGCCCGGCTCAGAGGGGATGCTCAGCCCAGGTGTGTGGAGTGAAAGAAGGGAGGAGGAACATGGAGAGGAGCTCACCAAGGCTTTGTGGCTGAACAAACGTCAGGAGGAAGTGGGGATTGCAGACAGCTGAGGCCTCTCTCTTCTCCATGAAGTAGTCAAGGGAATTGTGAACAGAGTGGAGCCAAAGACAGAAACCGTTCAATTTGGCCACAGGGAAACATTCAAAGCCCAGTTTGTTCATGCGAATTGTGGTACTAACGACTTCCAAATTATTTGAAGATTTTGGTATATTGTGATTTTTTTTTTTTTTTGATGCAGCTGTCACTAATGGCCATTAGTTCCCTTCTTGGACCCCAGTGGGCTAGCCCTTGTTCTGTCTGCCTATCCCCATCCCCCTCTCTGGAACTTTCTTGTGCGCACAGGCCTGTCAGTCCACCTGCTGGAGCTGCCATAGGCTGTCTCCAGTCCCTGAGCAGGTCTGGCTGGACCAGACCAGGCTGCCCCTTTCTGAGCTATGATCTGACATAAGGAACCACTGAAAATTCTCCCAGTGACTTGCCCACTACACTAATGGCCGTTAGGTTTGTGGACTCAATAGTTAGGTAATTCTTGTTAACATAAGTCATATTAGTAGTGTTGAATAATCTCTCTGTTTCTTCTGACGTAATAGCAATTACAGTAAAAAAAAAAAACAAATTTTTTTTTTAATTTCAGCTCTTATAATACCATCTAAGATTTTTGTTTATTGAATACCTCTATCATTGGCTAGGAGCCCTGGTGGCACAGTGGTTAAGAGCTTGGCTGCTAACCGAAAGGTAGGCAGTTCAAATCCACCAGCCACTCCTTGGAAACCCTATGGGGCAGGTCTACTCTGTCCTATAGCATGGCTATGAGCTAAAATCAACTTGAAGGTAGTGGGTACGGGGATTATTGGCTTAGTCATGAATTCAAAGGCACAGATAATTAAGTTGAACCTAATCTTTCAGGACACATGTCAGGAGACAAGGCATGGCATCTAAGCATGTAGGCTCTATTGCCAAGCTCCCTAGGTTCACATACCAGCTCTACCACTTAACTTTAAATACCCTGTCTATGCCTCAGTTTACTTACCTGTAAAATAGGGATAACACTAATTCTAGTACACTCAAGTGATTTATTATAATTTGAGCATGATGCCTGGCACAGCAAGGGCCACGATCACACTCACTACAATTTGTACAAAGAAGAATAACATTAATGTCTGTAAAAATGAGCATTAGGTAGGTTTCACAAATTCACTTATTAATAGGGGTGAAATCCAACAAGGAATATGGAAAGAGGAACCCACAACTCCAGGGTTCAAATAGCTCCAAACAGCCCCCAAAGCCTCATCTTTCCCTATGACCTCCTTCCTATCATAGATGTGCCTGCTATGTTAGCAGAACCCACAACACCTGACCAGTGCCTGTGCTGGCCCTATTATTACCCGTCCATGTGCTTGCCCTATATCTCCTTTGGGGCTGCAGCTCCCAAAAGCAGCTAAGTGAGGACGACTCTGGTGGAGCACTGCTTGGCATGTGTAGCCACTCCAGCAGGGCCAGAGGGTTATCTGCCTACAAGGTTACCACCACGGCCATCCTGGACACCGTCTACTCCACAAGAGCACTAACCCTCTCTGGCCAAAGAGGAACAGAAACAGGAGCCAGCCTGTAGAAGCCCCAGGAAGAGGACTGGCAGGCCAGGGGGCACCAGAATGGTCCAGAGATGGGAATAAGCAGACAGAATACAGGTTACACTCCCTCGGTTCTCCAAAGAGAACCAATGGCAATGCCCAGGAGGCAGGATTTGGGGGCAGCTGGCTGTCTTGGACACTAAGCAATCAGAAAGGAGGCACTCTATAGTGCTGGAACACATTCCCACAGGCTCCTACAGGCCTGTGCAGTCCTAGAGGACAAGCTAAGGTAACTGGTATGATAAGAGATCCCCACTAGCCAGTCCCTGCACTGGATCAAAGGAGAAAGAAGCCCCTCTGACTGACATGATCTAGCAGCACAAAGCAGCCTCATTATGTAATTCAAGTAGGACACTTAGCTTAGAGCAGAATTGCCTGCCTCCCCCACTAAAATCTAAGTTCCCTGATAGCAGGGACTTTATTTGTTCACCAGCTTCCAGAATGACACTTGACAGAGAGTAAGTGCTCAATAAATATTTCTCGAATAAATGGTTGAATCCATCCATCCATCCATCTACTCACTCATGTAGTCACTCATTCACTGAAGTGGAAACATTTTGAAATGTCTGTCAAGATAACTGCAGTGAGCCGAAAATGAATAATGAAACTAAAATTGGCTCGGATTGGGTCGACCGCAGGTCATTAGAAAGAGATACAAATCCCTAATCTCTGCTGGCAGATCCAGAACAACCCACTCTGTGGCTGTCTTACCCTTCATTCCTACTCCAAGTACCAGACCTAAAGTTTTTATTGGTTTGTCTCTACCCTTGGTTACAGTTTCAAAAGGATCAGGAGCTGCAACAGTTGATGAAATGGGTAGAGAAATTCCCATGTGCCTGTCCTCATTGGCTGTGGGGGAGCAAGGTTTTCATCCTGGTCAATGACCCTGACTACATGAAGGTGATTATGGGGAGATCAGGTGAGAGCCAAATCCAGCTGGAGCAGTTATTTACTCTTGGGTACATGTCCTGGGTCTGTAAAACTCCAGGAGAGCATAGTACGACCATCAGTATCTAAACATTCTACCAACAATCCTCTCAGCCTAACACCCAGCCTCAGGACAACAATAATTTCTTAGTACTAGACATTTAAAACTTCTGCGTGAGGCTAGATTTCTCCTCCCTCCTTTGTCTCACTCTGTCCCTCCTTGCCTTCCTCCCTCCTTCCCTTTATTCTTTGTGTCCTTCCTTCCTTCTTTTTCCTTTCTTTCTATCTTCCTTCCTTCCACCAAATTGAGATACTCTGTCACATTCAATGCCCCATATCGGAAAGACAAATTTCCAATCCACAATAGCGTCTAGTAGCTCTCGTTTCTGTCTGTTGATTTTTGTCTGCTATGGGTCATGGTATGGCAAAGCCACCACAAATTCTAGAAAAGCCACAAGGCTTCTGTCTTACTGTTTGGCACTGAGGACATAGCCTATGTTTCTGGCAAATTCAGTATCCCAGCCTACAGGCTGCTGCTGAAGGTACACTGAGTCTGTCTTCATGACCCACACTGACTATTGGGACAGAGATAGTCGGGGCTGGGGGGCAAGCGAAAGGTAGCTTGGTATAGATTTCCAGCTGACAGTAATCAAGAACTGATGGTAGTCAACGGTCTGGACAACAACTACCTCCTGGGCGCTGCCTTATCCACTCCCACCCAAATGCTCTCCCTTATCTTTCAGACCCAGAGGCTAATGATGCTTATAGATTCCTGGCTCCCTGGATTGGTATGTGCATCTAAACTAGGCCTTCGTTCCAATCAACAGCTAGGTTTGCCACCAGTGACCCCTTTGGCTCACAGAGAACAGGGACCCAAAACCCACTGTCACCTTTCCTATACAGTTAGTCCCCAACTTACGACAGGGTTCTGTTCTGTCGACTTCGTCGTAAGTCAGTTTTTCCGTAAATAGAATACCTCACTTTTTTTTTTTTTTTTTTGGTTTTCATTATTATTGCCTTTTATTATCAGTATCTTTATAAATATGTTCGTTACTTGTCTTTGAGGGGTGGTGTGAGAATGATAACATCAGCAAATTACATGCTACAACACTGTATGTTGTACATATTACTAACGATAAGATGCACAAAAAAAAAAAAGATGGTATGTGTGTTTCGTCATAACGAATATGTCTTCGGTAGGGGAATACCTGTACCTGAATCAAGCTTCCTTTCTCTTATTCTACCAGACATTGACTCTATTTTCTTGGTATTGAAAGCCCTCCAAAAGCTCAGCTCCTTCCACATCTCTTCTCAGTTCTTTCCAAACATCAGAGCCTGACGCTTATTTAAGACCTATTCCCAACTTGTTTTCAACCTTTATCTCACAGCTATTATAATCACAGCCTATGTACCAGCCAAATTGGAAATTCACATTTCTGAAAAGTGCCGATCTTTTCCAGACTTTGCCCATGATGTGCCTTCAGCTGGGTTTCTCCTCCTAAGCTCGCCCTTGGTCCCTCTCAAATTGTCTCCAGCAGTCCCTCTGATCCTATCTCCCCAGCACACATACACACACACACACCTCTGGACCAGGGTATGGTTTGCTCCTGTTGAATGGGGAGACGTGGTTCCAGCACCAGCAGATGCTGACTCCAGCCTTCCACTACAACATCCTGAAGCCCTACGTGGAGCTCATGGCTGACTCTGTCCAAGTGATGCTGGTAAATCTCTGCTCTCTCACTTCCACATACCCCCTAACTCACAGATCCCCACATTCACTCATGGTACACACTCATACGGTCCACTCTCAAACACATATGTCCCAGGGGACATTCATCAGACACAGCCACATACAATGACACTCTCAAATCCACACTCGCAAATCACCCCTTGTTAGTACACATACCTATTGTCAATCACTTTGACACACTTGTAAGGCCAGGACCTTGTGCTTTTACAGACACTTACATGCACTATCACCCAACCTAAAGTGAGTCACACACTCCAACACACATGTGCTCACTGCCATGCAGAGACACAGATTCAGACACACCAGCTGAGTCACATACATGCATATTTAGACACATTGAGACATACCTGGCAGACATACACAGGCATGCACTCCTACACACACTTGCACGTATGCCCAAATATGCTTGCTATCCAGCACTTAGAAAGAGGCTTCCTTCTCATATTAAAAATAAAAAAACAAACCCGTTGTCGTCGAGTAGATTCCTATCCTTAGGTATAAATAAATTCCTCTCCTGATTGACTGAAACCTCCTCCAGCACTTAAGAAAACGCAGTCTAAGACCACTACTATGCAATCAGTGTTCCCCAAAAGTAGGTGGGACGGGTAAGGACCCAGCCACCATCTTGAATCTATACTTTGCTCATCTGTCAAGGAAGAAAGGATTATGGTCTATCCAAGGGCCCCCACATTCCCACCTCCATGTTTTCAGCACCATTAACCGAGGAACAGTTAATACCCATTGGCCAGTAGGACAAGCTGACCCTGGCTGGCCTGGGTGAAGCTAGCTTCAGTGGCAGGGATGATTTCCCAAGATATTTTTCAGAGGCTCTCATCTGAGCACGGGGCTTCTAAATGGATTTGAACAATTCCATGGATCAAAATGTACACCGAGTATACATTCTCATAGCCTCCCATTAGGACTCTGATTTGTTACCCAACTTAAGCTCAGTTAAAAAAAAAAAAAAAAGCTGAATGAAAAGGAATCGAAATTCATGATGTCCTTTCCTTAAAAGAATCTATCTTGACCCCTTAGACTTTTTCTTGCTTGGACATATTTGGTCCCTAAAATTGTGGTGCTATCTGTCCCTCAGCTCTACCTTACTTCCCAGAACACCAATGAGTCCCCCTGCTCTTAGTACCCTGAAAAACATTGTATTCTGGTCAACCAAAAGGTGGTTACCATCAAAAATTATTCATATAATTCAAAACTTGATTTAGACTCTTCTGAGAGGATATGTTTAATTTATAATAAAAACCTGTGAGAAAATAGATATCAGTTCACAAATATGTGCTTTATGGTCTTACTTTTTTTACAATACATCTGCTTTAGAAAGTGAGAGACTCCCAACAGGACGTCTGAGAAGAGAGAAAGGAGAGTCTGGCCTTTTTAGCATGGGCCTTCTGGGGGAGTTTGAGTAAAGTTAATGTCCCCTTCCTGCCCAGGACAAGTGGGAGAAGCTCATCACCCAGAATTCATTTCTGGAAGTCTATGAACATATCTCCTTGATGACCCTGGACACCATCATGAAGTGTGCCTTCAGCCACCAGGGTAGCATCCAGTTGGACAGGTCAGTGATGACTCTTCATTGTCATGGTGCTTGTTCTTAACAACTTTCAGTGGATTTACCTGAGAGGCAGGTGGGACAGCTTGAATGCTCACTTCCCAAAAAGCAAGATTCTATGCCAGGATCCAGATAAATAGGTAGCAGCCTGGATGCTCATGCCATCTTATGAAGGACTGGGGACCACAAGGGCTATAAGACCAGAAGACATGGATTCCTCAGTGGTGCATGTCCCCACTGTTTGAAGTTGTCTCTATCCAGACCACAACTCTACCACTTGGTCAGAGGCCTCTCTTCCCTTTACTGTCTTCTGCATCGTCTGCCTTCAGGAACTCCCACTCTCACATCCAGGGCATTGAGTACCTGAACAACCTGGTGTTTTCTCGTGTGAGGAATGCCTTCTACCAGAATGACATCATCTACAGGCTGACTCCTGATGGCCGCTTGACTCACCCTGCCTGCCAACTTGCTCATCAGCATACAGGTTCTAGGTTCCCCTCCCAAGCAGCCCCCCTCCTCCACCAAGGCCCAGGTCAAAGGAACTTGCCCTGACACCTCTGGCAGAGCCAGACCCCTGGTGCCCCTGCAGGACCTGGTACAAGCCCAGGGTGGGTACATCTATCCGGCAGAGGATGGGCACCAAGATGTTGTGTGCCAAGCACTATGCCAGAGGTTTACATGTGTCAAAATGTTTGGTGATGGTTGATGAGACCTCATCCCAGGAAACATTCAGGCAGAGGCTCCATGGGCTCTGAGAGTGAGGGGGTTCTGACCTGTAATCCGTTAGTGCTAGAGCTCTCACCTCTGACCCACACTCAACCTGAGCTCCACTTCAGTCAGGCCTAACACCCAGATTGGTGTCAGGTGGGGCCAATGGCATTACAGTAGGTATCCTTAGCGGCTGTGCCCACAGTCTCACCTCCCACTGATAACCACTATCCTTGGACAGACCAAGTCATCAGGTTGAGGAAGGCTAGCCTGCAGGAGGAGGAGAGCTAGACAAGATCAGGAAGAAGAGACACTTGGATTTCCTGGACATCCTCCTATGTGCCAAAATGAGTGTGGGAGAGACCTGAGGCTTTGCCCAGAAGAGTGGGCCTGGGAGCAAACCCTACATTCTCCCTGTGGTTTCTCTCAGATGGAGAATGGGAGCAGCTTGTCCAATGAGGACCTTCGAGCTAAAGTGGATGTGTTCATGTTTGAGGGTCATGACACCACAGCCAGTGGCATCTCCTGGATCCTCTATGCCCTGGCTGTGCACTCCAAGCATCAGCAGAGGTGCCGTGACGAGATCCAGAGCCTACTGGGGGATGCGGCCTCCATCATATGGTGAGTGCTCAGAAGATTGAAGGGCCCTGCCTCCCAGTTAGAGGAGAAGCCCCTGGTCTGTCCTGAGCCTGCCCACTCATTACTCTGGGCTCTGTCCCAGGAACCACCTGGACCAGATGCCCTATACCACCATGTGCATCAAGGAGGCTCTGGGACTCTACCCACCGGTACCAAGCATTAGCAGAATGCTCAGCAAGCCCATCACCTTTCCTGATGGATGCTCCTTACCCAAAGATACGAACTTCACCATACTCACTCCCCTAACTTCCAGGAACTGGAACTATATCCACCACCACCACCAGCTGCAAGCAAGTTGATCCTGACTATGGCCACTCTATGAGTGTCAGAGTAGAACTGTGCTCCACAGGGTTTTCAATGGCTGGTTTTTCAGAAGTAGACTACCAGGCCTTTCTTATGAGGCACCTCTGGGTGGACTTGAACCTCCAATCTTTCAGTTAACAGCTGAACTCATTAACTGTTTTTACCACCCAGGGATTCCATGAACTATATAACACATTGCCTTTGAGTTGATTCTGACTCATAGCAACACTTTAGGAAAGAGTAGAACTGCCCCATATATTTTCCAAAGCTGTAAATATTTGCTGAAGCAGACTGCCACATCTTTCTCCCAAAGAGCGGCTGGTGGATTCAAACCACTGACCTTTTGGTTAGCAGCCGAGCTCTTAACCATCGGACCACCAGGACTCCTTCAGTCTTCTCTCTGTCTCTCACCTGCCTTACAGGAATCAGAGTCTTTCTGAGCATTTATGCACTTCACCACAACCCAACGGTGTGGCCGAACCCAGAGTATGAGGCCCTGGGAGGAAGAGATGGGTTAATCTGTCTAGTTCATACCTCCTTAACCTTCCACCTTTGGTAGTCCTTCTCCCTCATGTGTTGGAAGGAGGGGCTTGACCCCTAGGTGCCCTGGCCCTCCACTTTCTCTGTTTACACTGGGCTCTGCTCAAAATAGCCATGCTTTCCTGCCTTTCTCAGGAGGACAAGGTGAGTTGTACTGTGTGTGGTGATGGGGTGGTTACTGGGCATGTGCCCTAACGGTGGTGTTGGCCTATGTGCATAGGTGGCAGCCACAGATATGCCTGGTAGTTTTGGTGTTTCCAGGCCACACTCTCATGCCCTCACCATCTAGGAGGACACACAGATGCCCAGGTCCTCAAAAAGAAGAAAAGATGGGGTGATGTGGGGGAGTCAGAGAGGAAAAAAGAAAGCTTCCTGGTGAGGGCAAAGGGGAGAGGGAACTGTGTGTGTGTGTATGTGTTTCTTGTGCATATATCTCTGTACAAAAGAAAAATGGATTTTCAGGCAAGCCATGGAGTTGCTGCTCCCACTGCTCTTTCCCAATGGCGGCCAACGTTTAGCATGAGTGGGTTTTCCAAAGTTCAGTGTATTCTAGTGTTTTCCTCATTTTATGACAATGACTTTTCAGATAGACTATGTAGTGCATTTTAAATCTCTGATGTTGTGCTACTAATTGTCAGAATTTTTAAGAGTGGATTTCTCTCTTCCTAATCATTCTCAGTTGAGCCACTGCTTTTCCTATTTAATTCAATAATCTGCCTCCCCACTGCATGAAATATGTAGTTTGCATGAGTTTCTAATTCCAGATGTCTTGTATATTTCAAAGGCTCAATCCATATACTTGAAAGGCCATGGTTGCCTTTTGTAGGAAGTGTTACACCAGTTTGTGTCTTTTCTATTTTAGAAGCTCTTCCAAGAAAAATGTTCACTACTTATTAACGTTCACATTCCCATGACAACACTACCAGTTGGTAAAATTTGTCATATGAAATGCAATTTATATGCCATAAATTAACATTACCTGTTGCTGTCGATTCAATTCCAACTCATAGGAACCCTATGGGACAGAGTAGAACTGCCCCATAGGGTTTCTGAGGAGCGACCGGTGGATTCAAGTTACCGACCTTTTGGTTAGCAGCCGAATTCTTAACATTGTGCCACCAGAGCTCCATAGAGTCCACATAGTTCAAAGCTGCGGGAAAGAAAAGAAAGAGAAAGAATGAAAGAAATGAAGGAAAGAAGAAAAAAGAGAGAAAGAAAGAAAAAAATGAGGACAGTAATCAGTTTTTAAGAGAAAACCCACAATATTGTATATGAAATTTAGAATTTGAAAGATTCCCAGTGTGTAACTTATAAAACACACTTGAAATGCCTATTCAGTTGAGACAAATACACTTCGACATGGTTGCTAGGACAATCTTCAAAGGCTGCTTAAATCCTCTGAAATACAAATTGCCATAAACTTTGTAAGTGTTTAGCAGAGAAAGGTTTTGATGAATCTATAATTCTTTGAATTCTTCAGTGGCTGAGTCATATTTCATATACTGGGTCTTAAGCACATTGTCGTTGTACAAATGGATTTCCAGGATTTAATTTCACCTGAATTGATTCTTCTTCTAAACACTGGCTGGAAACCATGTTGCTGCCACTGCAAGGCAGTAGAGTCTTGGGCACTGAATTAAAGGTCAGAACTAATATCTTATTTGATTTGATTCCATTTTATTTTATTTTAATCAAATCAATTATTTTAATTCAATTTTAAAAGGATTTATTAAGCATATACGTTGTGTGACAAGTCTCATTTTGGGAGATGGCAACACACACATGAAAAATACTGTCTGACCCTCCAAGAGTTTTCAGCCAAGGACAGAAACGTATAGAAATAAATAGCTGTAGGTAAAGACATCAATTTGTTCACCCACTCTTTCATTTACTGAGGAGTTCTTGAATGTTCCTGTGTTCCTGGCACTGTCCTAAGAACTGGACTGGAATATGTCCTTAACTGAAACACTAATGGTGACTTGGAGCCCTGGTGGTACAGTGGTTAAGAGCTTGGCTGCTAAAAAAAGGTCAGCAGTTCAAACCCACCAGCCACTCCTTGGAAACCCTGTGGAGCAGTTCTATTCTGTCCTATAGGGTCGCTGTGAGTCGGAATCGACTTGATAGCAATAGTTTTTTTTTTTAATTTGTTATTTAATGGTGAATTGGGGGCCAGGAAAGGGAGAGAGACACCTGGAAGAGGGGATGCAGGAATGCTGTTCATTGCAACTGACAGGATGTGGGCAGGCAGAGGTAGGGGAAGGGCATTCTCAGTAATGCCAACGACAGGAGCTTGAGCCAGGATTGGAGCTGGAACGGTAAAGTAGGGTGAGGCAACTACCCATTCGGGGGTTAAATGCCAGTGGAGGTATTTGGATGCTCTACATGTGACAGAGAGCATAGCAGGGTCTGAGCAGGGCTATGGCTACAGTGTGGAGGGAGTCAGAGCAGGAAGACCAGAAAAATCCAGGTAAGGAGACGGAGGGATGTCAAGGAGGGGACGTTTCTGGAGTAGTTATGAAGACTACAGAAGCTAGTTGAATAAGGAGATGAGGGGTGCAGGAGTCTAGACCATTAATCGGAAGTCTGATGGTGCAACAGGGAGAGGAGGGGAGTTCCCTACACCATCCCTCCTTTCCAGGAAGCTTCCCTGGTGCCCCTCTGACTTCCCCAATCCACTCCAACCTGTCCTGCCTCTGATTATCTGGGCAAGCCTGTGTCCCCCTAGGTGGTGAGGGCCTGAGAGTGTGGCCCACCCTGCCCCGGTAGTGCCCAAAACAGTGGCCTCCACACTGTGGAAACAGTCACTGTTTGTGCAGTAAGTGAAAAAACCAATGTTTAACTTTTTAAGGCAATTCATTTGGTTAAACTCTGAGGCTTACAGCCCTGACCATCTCCTAACAGAGGATTTTAAGCTGCTTCTTAACACAGACCTTTCTTCTAAGATCAGACCTATTCCTTTCCCTGTGAACATTTTATCACTCACTCAGCAAACATAACTGAGTCCCTACATGTGCCAGGCAGGATTTACCACAGAGAAGAGCTGCCCTTATACCACGGCTGAGGTGACCTGGAGGGAAAGAGAAGATTCTGTCCAAACCTTAAATGACTCCATAAGAATATGTAGCGTACTCCTTTTCAACCATATTCCATGAGAGAACTAAGCCCTGACGTTCTAAGGTATTCATTAAATGTAATGAATTAACTTCTCTCTTCTGCATCTAGAACGGTCCGGCTTGTACCAGCCTCAGAATTAAGAAACTAGTCACTCAAATAATACTCTATGGAGCTTAATTCTCTCAGAGAACCCAGTTGAGAAAGGCTGTTAGGCACTCAGTCTCGTACCTCCACCATTTCTTCATGTTTCGCTTTGCCTAGACTGGCTTTCCCTATTAGAGAACAGCTACATATCCTTCAAAGCTCAGATCAAATGTCCACTCATTAGCAAAACTTTCCTTCTCCACCAGCCATCCCGTCATTACAAACCAGGTTAATAGCCTGTTCTGAGCCCCAAAACCCCTGTCTTCCCAGTGGCAAGACTCAGCATAGAATAGCAAAAAATTCAGTTGTAGGACTCACACCTGTATTTGCTGAGGGAGCTCAGAAAGAGAAATGTTACTGGGAGCAGAAGGAGGAGTTAAGAGCTAAGCCTTGAAGAGTAGTCAGATTTGTCAAAGGTTAGGGAAAGACTGTGACCAAGGACTGGGAGTAGAAAGAAGTGTGTGTGACCTGTAAAGAGAAGACTAGGGGCTAAGCCCCGTCAAGGAGGGCCCTAAATGTCCAGTTCAGAGGGGGACAAAGTGGCCAATGCCTGCCTAGCGCCGAACTGGGCCTGAGGCCAATTCCCCTTGGCTGTCTCATGTTGGCCCAGGAATTGTACTGGGAAGCATTTTGCCACAAACAAGCTGAAGGTGGCTGTGGCCCTGGCTCTGCTCTGCTTTGAGCTCTCACCAGAACCCACCAAGGTCCCCTACCCTGTGGCAGGAGTTCTGTTGAAATCCAGGAATGGAATCCACCTGCTCCTGAAGAAACTCCTCTAACCCCGGTGGGGACAGGGGCAGGCTCGTTTCATCTATTTGGTTCTGAGAACCTCCTGCCTTCCATCCTGTCTTCCTGTCCTTCTGTCACTGTCCCCTATCTGCCCATCACTAGGCTTCCTATCTGGCACCTGCCTGATCTCCTGCCTCCTTTCCACCAGAAAGTCTGCCCTTCTCTCTGCCAAACTTTCTCCAGTTTCTCTCCCTGTTTTTCTGTCTACATTTCTCCACCCACCTACACTTCTAAGTGACCAACTAACTCCTGATCACCTATCTGCCCTCCAGCTTGTCCGCCCATCTTTAGGTCTGTATTCTTGTGCCAGCTTGTCTGTCTCTTTATGACTTTCCCGTTACTGCTATAACAAATTACCACTAATTTGGTAGCTTAAAACAACACAATTTTATTCTCTTATAGTTCTGAATTTTACAGCCTAATACAGATTCCACCAGACAAAAACCATGGTGGTATCAGACAAGCCAGTCTCCCTCCAGAGACTCTAGGGGAGACCCTGTCCTTGCCTTTTCCAGCTTCTAGAGCTGCTTACCTTATATCCTTCACTCATGACTCCTTCCTCCATCTTCAGAGCCAGCAGCATCTTCAAATCTTTCTCTGCTTCTGTCTTCATATTGCCTCCTCTCTCTTAAAGAATTTATGATTACTTGGTGCCACTCAGATAATCTAGGATAGTCTCCCAATCTCAAAATCCTCAATATAATCATTCTTTTTGCTATATAAAATATTCATAGTTTCTGCGGATTTGAGTATTGACATTTGGGGCCTATTATTTGGCCTGCCACCCATATGACTATCATCTGGTCTGTCGTATCTGAATGTCACCCCTCTACCCATTTGTCATTCATACAATGCTGTACTTCTTTCCCAACCCCAACCACCAATAAAGTTCACAGTGCTTCAGGTAGTATCTGTTTTCCTGGGGATGGAGGTGGATGGCAGGGAAGGTGGTGGGTTGCGGGGGTAGGGAGGGGGGAGAGACAGATGACAGAAATCCCTTATGAGGAAGAAGAAGGGAGTTAAACTCTCCTTTATGATGCCCAGGACCCTGTGTTCTCCCTCAAGCCGACCCCAGCCCAGCCTGATGTCTCCTACCCCCTCCACACAGGCCCTGCTCTGTTGGTCTGTGGTGCCCACACCCTGCCAGGCTCCCAAAGGCTCCATGCTAGCCGGGTTTAGAGACAGGGTCCCTTCCTCAGGTGCACTGGTGGAGGGCTCACTTGTGTCAGGTAAGGGTCCCTGCCTCTGTTCTACTCAGGGGTTCGGTGTCTCTCACACTAGATTTTATAGCATCAACCATCTAGAGCCTTTCTTGCTCTTAGCGGAAGAACTTACAATCCTGGTCCAGCATGAGGACCTTGGAGAACCAGCCCTTCACAGCCCAGAAATATTTGGGATATCTGTGATGTCACCAGGCACCTGTCAGTACTTCTCAACACAGAAACATCTGCAGGCTCCTCAGGAGGCTCAAGGAGTGGGTGGTAGCTCAGCAGGGAGCTGCTCAGGTGGAAGATGGGGTGGGCTGCAGGGTGAGGATGTCAGACCCCAGCAGTTAGCAGCCCCTACCTCCTCACCACACGACAGCCTCACAGCAGCTACCTGTACCTCAGCCTGCTGCCTCACTTGTCCCACCTGGTGAAGGAGGGACTTCTTCAACTTGGTGACACTTGGTGATCACCTGGTTGCTGATCTTTCTTAGCCAGGTCCCAGTTCCCAGCACCAGCCCCGCTTTGTAAGCCTGCCATGTTTCTTGGGCCAAGCATCCCTGCTTCCACTAGATTCTCTCAACTCTAGGGTTTTGCCTTCTGCTGATCATGGGCACAGACCCATTCCCTCATTTCTAGCCCAAGGCATTGGCTGCCCTAGGTAGAACTCACTGCTTGTCTCTGTCATGTTCTGCTTCCAGGAAGGGGCTTCTCCCTCAGCCTGTGCCTGCAGTCATGACATCTGTCTTAGGCTGGGTTCTCTAGAGAAGCAAAACCAGTAAAGTGTATAAATATATATAGAGAGAGATTATATAAAGGAAACAACTCACGCGATTGTAGAGGCTAGAATGTCCCAAGTCCGTGGATCAGGGTAGAGGCTTCTCCCAACTCACACAGCCACAGAAGCTGGAAAGCCGAAGATCGGCAGGTCGGAGAGCAAGGCTCCCGCTCACGGACTGGGCAGATTGATGAATCCCAGGTTCGGCAGATAAGCTGATAGCTCAAGTCCCAAGAACAGGAGATGAGACGACAGGAAACAGCTGCAGGATCCAGAGACAGCAAAAAGCCAGAACGCCTGCTTATATTCAGATGTGGGCCACACCCCCAAGGAGACTCCCTTTCATCTGATTGGCTACTCACAGTATATTCAATCATGGGAGTGATTACATTAAAACACTGAGAATAATGGCCCAGCCAAGTTGACAAACAATCTTAACCATCACAACATCCCTCCCAGTTCCCTGGCCCCCCTGTCCGCCGCTGTTTCAGGGCCAGTTCTGCCCTGCCTTGAGGGCGGTTGGAGAGGAGGGCAGCTGATCACTCAGGGCTTGATCTGGGATTGGGGCAGGAGACTGAATCTAGGAGTATTTTGGATAGAAGCTTCAGTAGGTTCCCTGACACCAGATGGTGCAAAGGGGCTCAGGTTGGCCTTGGCTCAGAGAGAACAGGACAATAGTGGCCTGAATTCTGGGAGAAGGGCCATGAGCACATGCTCTAACCACAGGATTCCAGGGGTGTGGGGAAAGTGACTGAGAAGCGACTCCAGGAAGTGGGCAAGGCCCAGAGTGAGTTCACACCACATGCCCCCCACCACCATGACACACACACATAGAGACACTCATTGAAGCTTACTCTTGCACATGCCCAGGCACACCCCTCACATTCTACCCCACACATATGTGCACACAAATGCCCGGGATAACAGGATGGAGCAGGGAGTGTTTGAGAGCTGGACTGAGGGAACTGGAATGCACTGGGGATACCTCTGGTCCCCACCTGCTATCCATGCCCCCCCACAGGGTGCTCATCTTCCCCTTTTGATACCAGTGCTCTCAGATCTTTTCCCACCTAAACCTGCTCTCAGGGCAAGTTTCAGTATTAATTGTGTAGTCTTGATCAAAAGAGGCAAGAATCAGAGGTCCTCGAGTTAAGCCTCCAGAAGAGTCTTGGCAGGTTCTTCCGTTGATATTGAAGTGGAGTATGTCCCCCTGCCTATCCTACCATCAGGTCTCCTGACATCCATAGAGACACAGAAAGTGGATGAGGTTTAGGCTTATGTTCCACTAATGGAGCCTCTGGGCTCAGCTCCCAGGTGATGTTGTTGAAATGTTATCTTCACTTGTGCAGAGAAAGGTGTGGCCAGGTGCCAGGACACAAAGAAGAAAGTTGGTACAATGGTATGCGGAACAGACAGTTGGGAGGCACACATTTCCCCACATTTTATTTTCGATCTGCAGTGGGAAGAGCATTCTGGGTCTTGGGAGGGCAATGCAGGAGTGAGTAAGGGGCCTTTTTCTGAGGAGGAAGCATTAGGGGCAGGAAGGGGATCTAGAAATGGTACATCCCCAGGGCTGCAGAGAGACATCTCAGTGCTAGGAATTCCCTTCTCTGGCCTCCCTCTACCTTCACCAACAGTCTCCATCACTCTCTCTTCTTCTCCTGTTTGGATGCTAAATTGGAGCCTACTAGTAGCTTGAGACCTTGGACCCTAAAGGTACATTTGCCACAGCCATCAGGTACTGCTGCAGGGTCTGCGGGAAGGATCTCTAATCCACCATGTGGTTCCACCCTGGAGCCCTCCCCAAATTTCTTCTTCCACTTTCAAACCCCATCCAAATCAAGGCTCAAATCAAGAACCATCTCTTGCCAAAATCTCCCCTTTAGTGCCACTCTGATGCCTTCATCCACCAACCCAGAAAGCCCCGAGCTCCTTGAACTAGGAGACACAGATGCTGACAATGACAAGGACAGCCTCTTATGGACTGAATTGTGTCCCCCAAAATATGTGTTCCATTCCTGGCCCCTGTACCCTTGAATGTGATCCTGCTTGGAAATAGGTAGTAGCAAAACTGGACTTAGAAATCTGAGGTGATGGTCCTGACTCTGACCCTTGCTTCCTCTATAACCATAAGAAAGTCAATTAACAGCTCCAGGCCTTAGTGTCCTTGACTGTAAAATAAGGTTAATAATACTTGGCAATTGGAAGGTTAAGCATGACACAAATGTAGAGTAGACATTTCTTGAGGTTCTACTGTGTGCTGGCACTGTGCTAGGTACTGAGGTAAGGAGACTTCACTTTCTCAGAATTCACCTCTGCCTCTCTTTCTGGGTAGGAAGTGGTGGTATACAAAGCCCCCAGGCAAAGAGAAACTCAACAATCCTGTGCCTTCCCTTGGGTGGTGAAAGCAAGTAAAATTTTTAGTTTAAAGGGCCTTTCCCTTGGAGATGAAGTCTTTGTAGCAGTGGAAAAGTAAACAAGATATGGTAATCATACACCAGCGTCAAACTCAACTCTAAGACCTAGAAAACAAGAAGTCACTGGGATGACCTACCTACAGGATTAAACACTTCAAGCTGCGGCTGTGAGAGTCAACTGTTCTCCTCTCTCTTTCCCCACATTTTATTTGTGACTATAAACTAAACCAGGAAGTATCCAGTAATAAAAAAATAATTTCCCCAGGACACTATTCATCCTGCTGGTATATCCCTTATTAGACTTTAAAGTACTGATTAATTTTAAACCTTTACCCCCCAGAATACAAGCAGGAAAATTTTTGATGAGTGAATACACAAATGAACAAACAACTCCATGCAGTGTTTCAGGACAGAATTATTATCTCAACTATATTAATTTCCTTGGGTTGCTGTAACAAGTTACCACAAATGTAGTAGCTAAAACAACAGAAATTTATTCTCTCCCTGTGATGGAGATCAGATATCCAAAATAAGTATCATTGGGCTGAAATCAAGGTGTCAACAGGGCCACACTATCGCTAAAAGCTCTA